GCTGGGGAGAGATAGAGAACTAATATCAGCCTTATTTGGTATCAGAGAGGCACCTCGGACGACCGCCACTCTAGGTTAACGAAAGGCTAAACGTTGTGCCCATAGATATAGCGACAATGCTGTCGGCCCTAACCGAACACGGCACACCGATGGCCGGTTCGAGTAGATCCTTCAAGATCATCATCTCAATAGGCGATGTCCTGACGAAAGGTAATATGTGAAACCATGGTCCTGTGAACTTATTCACGATTGAAAGGAAATTGGATGGGGAGATACATATGTAGGTGTCGGAACTCTTTATGGACTTCGAATTCGGTCGCACGTATTCCAAGCGGATATTTTATTGTATGTAAAACATTTTAAAGAGATGAAGGTATACTAAGGCAGCCAGATGGCAATCAAGGTCCTTAACTCTTTGAAAATACGTTCTAAAATGGTCAAAGAAGGCTTGACTTCTCTGTGCATCGCATCAAGTAACTTCGCTATCAAGCTCATTTTGGTTTTAGGCCAGACCGATACCAAGCTATAAGGCACCCTTGAGAAGTTGTCGTCTCGTAAGGAGATACAAAAAACTTTGCTGGTTAACGTGGACGGCTTCTACTTGCACTTTCCTTTTTGTATGCTCTATTTTCGAGCTTGTTATTCATTCAGTCCTCCCATTAACGTTCGACTTTTAAGTGCTATCAGGCATTTTCACATAGACCAAAATCGTAAACGAAATTCCATTCCTTTTCAAATTTTTATTTTGCTTTGAAAAACGAAATACATACATATTTCGAAAATTGAACGCGCTCACTTAGAAACGATTTCCAATTGCTCTCCGTAAAGACAGCAACTAGCAAGGCCAAGAAACTGCAAAATACATCCTTATAAATAACTAAACAAGAGAGCGCTTGTCAGTGGCTTCTATCATCTACTCCACCACCAGAAATGGCTACCGCTTTGTGCAACATTCAAGTTAATTGGCAATGTGCTGCATCATTTTGTGGCTATGCCTGCAACTGCCACGAAAGTCAAGTTGGAAATGCAAGCCAAGGGGATAATGCTGACCGCGCTGTTTTGCTGTGTTGCATTTTCGCCTGGCTACGCGAAGCTCAACGCAGATTTCTCGAGTCAAATTTGAGCTGTTTTAGGTCAAGGTAGCTTTCAGTGCGCTTCACGCTATGCAAGAATTTTTCAATAAGAAATCGTAACTTGATGAGCAAAAAAAGCAACAACGTTGATTACCAACAAACATCCACAGACCAGAAAACTCCAGGTAAAACGAATTTAACTTGGAACCGATAAACCAACCGGTAAGCAAGTAGAAGAATAGGCAAAAATCAACGGTAAACTGTTGTAATTGGATGCATTTCCAAAGTTACAATATCCACTAACATTTACATGCACATATTTTGATATGCATCCACACAAATGCCCATACATATGTACATATTTATATTAGGGTGTCCGTTATATACCTCGTTGGTTTTGCAGGGCCCCCTAAATTTTTAGTTTGTGACAGGTGGCAATAAATTAAAAAGCTCTGTAAAATGTTAAAAAAAAGAACTCGAGTTGGCGCTTGGAAACTTTAAGTAAATTAACATTTTTTGTCAGACAATAATTAATATGTTGTCTATTGCTTCGATATCCCCCAAAAAAAGTTCAAGTTTCATTTTGAACAACTTTGAAAGGAACGAATTTATTGAAAAATCATATGAGATCCTTTTTGTAGAGCGTTCAATTTCCTACAAGAATATACATCTCCCGGTTCTTTACACCTACTGGTTCAAAAGAAAATGTGTTAAGTGTAAAATGTAGCAAAATCCCATGTGTTTTCAATGAGAAATGTGCCACGGCTTAACATCAAGATTAAAAGTTTTTTATAGTCTTATATTTCGTCTTAGGTCAGAAACTAAAAATTTAGGAGTCGCTGCAAAAAAAAAGCCAACTTGGTAAATATGTAACGAACACCCTAATGTATATATATTGGTGGCATAAAAGTGCACAGATGCAGCAGGATTTTAGAAACAAGTGTACAACATACACACATTCAACTAAGCTAACTCACTCCAACTAATGTAATTTTGTAGTTTCTTGATGTAACTGCCATCCCTAAATTGGCGCGTCAAGCGCCAAACAACTGTCAAAAATCCTCATGCCCATACAATTTGTATGAAGCATCCCACAATAACGCGGCGCTAACGCCGAGCAAATGGAATTTTCATTTTTGACAGGGCGTTACGTGTTGAAGTTGGATGCGGAAGACGGAAAGAAAGAGAAAGGACAAAAAGTGAAAGAGGAAACGAGAATAAAAACGAGAGGATCTGAGAAAACGTCAAAAATTACGACGCGTTGATTTGGGGATAGCGCGCGCTGACACTCGTCGACAATGGATAACGCAACGCTTAGCGCTCCAATTTAGGGACGGCAGTAAGGTAGCCAATGCGATAGGGTTGCGCTTTCTCGGATGTCATTTTTTTTATTTTTAGTACCAATGCACCCGTCGATTTGCTTTCAAGACATGTGTAGGTGTATAAGTATGTATCTGCGTGGCCTTATAAACGAAATGATTGTGGGCGATGGATGTAATCTTGATCAATTAGTTCTCTTAAAGCGTGGGTGGTGTATGTAATTCTAAAATTGTTTGCTCACTGATTAGTCAGTAATGGTGAATAGTAGTAATGGTAATAGTGATAACCTTGATGATGATTATAGTGTTAATGGTAGGGGTAATGGTAATGATTATGGTAATGATTATGGTAATAGTAATGGCAGTGATTATGGTAATGGGAATGGTAATGGTAATGCTTATAATAATGGTAATATCCATGATAACGGGAATGGTAAAGGTATCGATAATAACATTGGTAATGGTAATGTATAGTAGGTTAGATTAGGTTAGGTTAGAGTGGTTGGAGTTGGTTCATGCTGGAAAATAGCTTTGTTCCACAAGCCAACCGGGTTGCTCCGGTAGTTAGAGCGTGTTTTGGGCACCCGCGGGCTCGTGTGGAACAAACCTAATATATTGTGGCGAATACTGCGGCAACGCGAAGCGAACAACGAGAAATAGGCAGAATGTTCGAGGAATGAAGTAGAATATTCCACAAAAAGAAACGCCAAGTTGGATGAACACTGCGAACAGCAAGTGAAAGAGAATGAGCGATGAACTTCAGAACGTTCTAGAGTTGCCATGAGTGCAAGCGCAGGTATATAAGGACGCCACCAGACACCGGAGTTAGGAGTTACAAGTCAGCAAGCTACAAGTAAAGTGAGTTCCGAATAAGCAAGCTATAAGTTTAATTGTGTTAACAAGTTTAGTAAAGCATTTTTATTGCTTTAACGAGTATTGTAAAGTGTTTTTACTGTATTAGCGAGTATTTTAAATTGTTTGTTGTACAATAAAGTTAATTGTAATACAATTTGGTCATCGTGAGCATTTATTTAACAATCCAGCGATACGAGCCAGAGGATATTTGGGAAATCCCTCAAGGTTTCTAGGATAATCGTAACAATTGGTGTCAGAAGTGGGATTGTTAAATAAATCCCGAAGGAGAAACTACTGAAAATGGCGAAAATTCAGGATCTAAAGATTGAGGAACTCAAGCAGGAGTTGGAGAAACGAAATTTAGCAACCTCCGGAAGAAAAGTGGAGTTGCTATCACGGTTGCGAGAGGCTATAGAAAAGGAAGGCATCGACGTTGACAAATACGACTTCCATCGTGAGGACGACGAGGCATCCTTGAAGGACAAATACAAGGAAGAGGTTGCTGGTTCATCGAATGATGTGGAGAAGACATCAGCGATGCTTGAAGAGCAGGGAAAGGCTCCTTGTGCGTCAACAGCTATAGACATGAACATGTTATTGGGTGCCATATCGCAGATTTCCTCACAGATGCAAGCGCTGGCGACACGTTTATCATCAGAGGTATCAGCGCAGGTGTCATCCCGGCTAGAAACTCATCTACTCGCACAAGAGGCACATATATCATCCCAGCTGGAAGCACAGGATGAAAAAATTACACAAATACAGGACAAAATCGAAGAGAGACAGGAGCATGGAGGATAAATCCGCTGCGTTATTCGTCGCATTGAAAAGACCTGCAGCGGAAATCTTGCAGACTATTCCCGACTGTGAAAGGAACAATTACGATGCGTTAATGGGTGCAGTGGAAAGACGGAGCTGGAGAATCGTTGCCAGAAATCCAACGAGACTTTAGAGGAATTCGCCTCTGGGATTGAAAGGTTGGCTCATTTGGCAATTGGAGACGCATCTGGTGAGCACCTTGAAAGGGTAAAAATCCAGAGGTTCATCAACGAAAAGCGAGACATGTATACCAAGCGAGAGACGTACGCGAATCCAAGGGCAACATTTGCTGAAACCGTCTCGTATGCTCAGACACGTGAAACGGCAGCACTCCTAAGAAAAGTAAGGTACACACCCATGAACGAAAGACACAAGATCACGTAAGAACAAGAGAGTGAAAAAAGTCGATTTTTTTACGCCATCTTGTTTCACTGGAAAACGAGCGAAAAGTAAACAAAGCAAAGAAAACAACGAAACCCAAAATTAGCCAAAATTATTGCCAGCCACTTTAAACGCACAATTTAGGTAAAATGATGCAACAAAATGCTTTCAAATGTGTTGTCATGTTGAATTAACTCTTTACTTGAATAAAAGTGTAAAATAGTGTTGCTTGTGATGTAAACAAACGCTCAGCTGACGAACCCGCTTTCGCAAACTTTTTTACAAATACAACGTCGCGTTCTTACGTGATCTTGTATTTTTGGTTCATGGTACACACCAACATGTTGTCTCAAATGATCAGAAAAATATTACGATCATCTAACACGCAACTGTTCCGTTGATCAGAAGTACACAACAGCGCGTTCAGAAGGCAAAATCGCAACAGTTACTGAGCTGTTGCGCCTTCTGAACGCGGCCCAATATGTATGAGTGAAAATTTTCGATATTGCTTACACTACTATCAATGTTTTCGATACTCAAAAACCATCGATACTATCGATAGTGCCATGGAAGTTTTCCGTCTCTACTCCTATTCCTTGATTTGCCCATTTCCATAGTGAATCACATCAACAAATCAAAAAATTTCAACTTTTTGCGGTTTATGTGAAGATTAGATGCTAATTTTGTTAAACGATGGAGGAAGACAAAGTTGCTTTGAAGAGCCAACTAGTCACAAAATTAAATTGGACCCTGGAGGGTGATCCTGTGAATGCGAAGTCTGCGAGGTATTTATAATGAAAAACATAGCAATTATGCATACATACATAAATACAATTAATTCATAAATTTGTCTTAAGCAGCTTAGAGGCAATAGTAGACAGTGCGATACCCGCAGGCCACTTGGTAAACAAAAACACAGAAGAAACTCATGCAGTTAACGAACTAAAGATTAAGCAGGAAGATAACGAGGGAAATACAGAGCACGGTATTGAAAATGAAGTAAGATCTGCGAGCGTTGATCACAATGAGATAGGGGAATACAATGGATCGATTAGTGAAAATGAATATAATTTTCAACGAGGCATTGATTCAGTGCATGCCAATAATGGAACAAGCATTGAAATTAGAGACGATAATGTACCAAATGAATATTTTGTGATAAGTGAGATTGATTTGGGCGAAGAAGCGAATTATTACTTTGATCCTACGAAGAGAAAAAGAATAAAAAAGTCAACAGCTCTGAAATATATTGACCAGTTACAACAATATGCGCTGCAGAATGGTTTAACAGAGGTCTACGACAAGCTGAGTGAAATTGAGTTGTTAATAAAGTAATTGGTATTTGAAATATGCACTCCATAATTTTATAGCTCCAACAATTTCTTGCAGCAAGGCAGCATCAGTGTCTTTTATTTCTAAATGACAGTAGAAAGTTATAAAATTTGCTTAAATGGGCATTTCTGAATGGTTAAAACTTGAGAATATACTACAGTTTGTGATTTAGAACTAAACGACTGATGCTTTGTATTGATGCGTTTAGATTATGGTGCTATATACATACATATTTACATATGAAGGGGTTAGAATCATAAGGGTCTAAGTGACATTTTTTGAAAATATAAGTTATACCCATATTTATAATTAAATATAGTATTTATTTGGCGACAAAGCGTAAACATTCTGTGAATTACTTAATTAACCTGCATTCATTTAGGTAAGAATCATTTCAAATGAATGTACCCAGAATTTACAAGAAGTAATCAACTTTAACTTTAATTATCTTAAAACAATGAAACATTGTTAGACCTTCTAAGATCCTTTTGATTCTAACCCCTTCATATGTGTATTAAATTTGTTGCTATGTTGTTTGAATAGTTTTCTTATTTTTCAAAACCACTAACCAAATTATAATTATAGGCTAACTAGTCCGAAAAGTTTTACAGAACGGCGCACAGCAATTAATGAAAATAAAAATCAGCGTAGTCAACAGGAAATTGTCTTCAATGAACGTTATACAGACAAAACGGATTCATATTCTCACTTGGCACAATCAACCAACTCTTCTGTTTTGACGACAGTTAGTCCAGTGGTATATGCCTCCAATAGTGGCCCAGAATTCGTCAGGGAAAATCAAAATAATACAAGTAATGCAGATTTTAACAGAGAAAATACGAGGTAATTTTTTATTCGACTTCCAAAAAAGGAGGAGGTTGTCAGTTCGTCGGAATATATTTTTTTTTATGTATTTTACCGCATAACTTTGGACCACGTAAACTGATTTCGATATTTCTTTTGCATGCTAATCTGGTTTAGATCCGATCATTGGATCATGATATATATATATATATATATTTTTTTTTTAAGTCGGTTTTTTTTGCTAAAAATTATTTGTTAGAACAGTTTTATTATGAGTCGATTATGGATTTCAACGCAAGCTCAGTTGCCAGTTGCCGTAATAACATTTCAGCCACTGGCAACCGAACTGCCATACGTAATCACACGTTAATTTGTAATTAATGTTTTGTTATTTTCATGTACTTAGATAGATATTTTGCTCTTTTCATTTGCAAGTTTAATAAGGAAGAAAACTAATGCTGAGCGAATGAGAGAATACAGAGAAAGGAAAAAACAGCGCCGGCTACTGGAGTTACACCTTAATGGCAATACAGATATTGTAAAGTAATTTTAAAAAGAAATTTATTAGTGTTCATTAGAGCAATTGCTTGTAGATAGTTTGGGTATAAAAAGCTACTTCTTTCCTTTTGCAGATTAAAAAAGACTCCCGCCGAGCGAATGAGGGAATACAGGGCGCGAAAAAAGCTCCTTGCACAACAAGCCTTCCTCTGCGCCTCTGTGTCATATTCAAAAACTGATCTTACTTCGGGACATTGTGGGTTATTTAAATTTAAAAAGTACTTAATCTTAAATGACATAATTATTACAATTTAGTGTATTCATAGAATATATATGATTTAAAATTTTATCATAGGCATATTTTAATAAGTAATTTTACTCTATTCTAGGGATTCAAATTCCATCAATGCCAGTGTCGTAAATGAGGATGTTGTTGAGGTGTATGACCTCAGCGAATCGGACGGGAGCGTAACTCTTTGTAAAAATGAAAATATTTCGCAAGATTTCCCTCGTGAAGAGTAAGTTTGGCAGTATATAATTTTTATAAGTATCAACATTTTCAATGAAAACCTGTGCATAATTTTTAGTCGCCTATGTATTTGAATTCCTAACAGGAAAAAGATTGTTTCTAAAAGTAAATTAAGTAATCCGTGTATCTTTTAGTGACCCTATCGCCGTGAATGAAAGTACGTATTTGTGTGAAGCCAGCTTATCGGACATTGGCGAAAAAATATATGAAATCGAAAATTCGTCACAAGATTCCCTCTGTGCGGGGTAAGCTTTAACCTCATTTCACTATATTATTGGAAAGATTATTATATTCTCTCCCTCGCATACATATGTTCACATAGTTTCTAATTATTCAAACCAACCGTTTAAGGTTGAACACGCTCGACGGCATTACAGTACAGGAAAGCAATACGCAAAATGTAGAAAGTGAGCAAGATTATGGTACGGTACTTTCGGAAGAAGACCAAAACACTTGTGAATTATTAACGCCATTAATTGAGCAAGGTTTGAGAAGAGAAAAAAAGACCGGAGGGCAAATCAACGGAACACGAACGTCGTTTTAAGGAAAAGAAACTAATAGAAAAATTTAGATCTTCGCCAGCGAACGAAATGAGTGATGTTGAAAAACGTAGACAGCGATGTGCGGAACGCGTTCGACGTTGGAGAGAAAGGAAAAGACAGCGCAGGCTACAGGAATCTAACCTTAATGACAATACAGATATTGTAAAGTAATTTTAAAAAGAAATTTATTGGTGTTCATTAGAGCAATTACTAATTGCTTGTAGTTAGTTTGTGAATAAAAACTACTTTTTTCATTAGATTAAAAAAGACTCCCACTGAGCGAATGAGGGAATACAGGGCGCGGAAAAAGCTCCTCGCACAACAAGCGACAGAGGAAGTGTCAAATTCAAAAACTGATCTTACTTCGGGACTTTCTGGGTTATTTAAATTTAAAATGTACTTAATCAATAAACGACATAATTATTACAAATTAGTGTATTCATAGAATATATAAAATTTTACATTTTATTATAGGCATATTTTAATAAGTAATTTTACTCTCTGTTCTAGGGATTCAAATTCAATTAACGCCAGTGTCGTAAATGAGGATGTTGCTGAGGTATATGACCTCAGCGATTCGGATGGGAGCGTAACTCTTTGTGGAAATGAACATATTTCTCAAGATTTCCCTCATATAGAGTAAGTTTTGCAGTATGTATTTAATTTTTATATCAACATTTTGAATGAAAACCTGTGCATAATGTTTAGTCACCTATGTAACAGGAGCAAGACTGTTTGAAAAAATAAATTAAGTAATCCGTGTATCTTTTAGTGACCCTATCGCCGTGAATGAAAGTGCGTATTTGTGTGAAGCCAGCTTATCGGACATTGGCGAAAAACTATGTAAAACTAAAAATACGTCAAAAGATTCCCCCGATGCGAGGTAAGCTTTAACCTTATTTCACTAGATTAGAAAATTTGTTATATTTTCTCGCTCGCATACATATGTTCACATAGTTTCTAATTATTCAAACCAACCGTTTAAGGTTGAACACGCTCGACGGCATTACAGTACAGGAAAGCAATACGCAAAATGTAGAAAGTGAGCAAGATTATGGTACGGTACTTTCGGAAGAAGACCAAAGCACTTGTGAATTATTAACGCCATTAATTGAGCAAGGCTTGAGAAGAGAAAAAACACCGGAGGGCAAATCAACGGAACACGTACGTCGTTTTAAGGAAAAGAAGCCAATAAAAAATGTTAGATCTTCGTCAGCGAACGAACTGAGTAAGGATGAAAAACGTAGACAGCGATGTGCGGAACGCGTTCGACGTTTTAGAGAAAGGAAAAAACTTGAAAAACTATCGGCCATGGGCAATCTATAACGCAACTATCTCATATAAAACAAAAGTTGAAATTTGTTTCATTAACATTAAGCATCAATAATTTTAGCTGAGGAAATTTCCTTTAATTTTGAATAATGTTCACCAACCATTGATTAGGCTAGTAACCAAGTTGTATATATAATTTAAAAAAAATTTTTATTAATAGTACATATATTTTTTCTTTCACTTGTATTTACTACATACATACATACATACATATGGACATTTATACCTAAGAAAAACCGCATTAACGAAAAACAGATTTGATTCAACACATATTTATTCCTAATGTTTATTCTTCAGTCTTCATAGCGCACTCGATTAAACCGTATTGAAAGGTAAACAAACTCCGTTAGTTTTATTCGATATCTATTTAATAATAAATTTTCGCCGTGGACCGAAATAGAAGCGAACAGTGAGTCAATACACTTTTCGATTTCAACGCGTATTTAAATTTTGTTTATGCATCTGTTTTGAATCGCACCGAACTGAGTCACAGCGCTTTATGTATCGGTATAAACAAGGTAACAGTTTTCTTTACTAAGTATAAAAATACAAAGAGTAAATATGTAAGTAAGCAAATAAATTATAAATAAATATAATTTTCAATGCAAAATATGAAAATGATACACCGAGTGAATTTCAAACCCATTAAATTTGAATACAAAGTAACTGGTTGAAGTTCACTGGAAAGTGAATCGCGGAACCTGCCTAATTGTTTGTGTTCATAATTTGCCATTGATTTTTTCCAAAACCCGATTCATTTCAGTCAACGTTTGATCCAATTTCGTAATAACATTTTGTTGGTTTACGGAGAGTATTTCCTCCCTTTCTCTGCGTTCTTCTAAGCTTTGGATTATCGTGTTACAAATTTCAGAAAAATTCCCTCTTTGAAAATTTACAGATTTTTTAGTTTGTTTAGTTTTCTTTTTAAAAGGGTCTGAAGCGGGAGAAGGCGACCTTGAAGATGAAGAAGTGCTGCCATGCATACCATCGCTAGGTAGGAAAATTGAATCGAAGGGAAATTCAACATCACTTTGAGCTTTACTAATTGCAGTTGGGTGTGGCGCATTTGAAGGCTTCAACTAAAATCAGAAGAAATTGAAATTAGTTTTTAGGATTAAAAATCCAAAGCTCTCGTTAATGTATATATTTGACTAGTAATTTATAATATAATCAAAGCATAGGTACCTCAGGTTGGCGTAGTTTTTTTGTAGGAACTTCGTGGTTTTCAGGTTTTTTACATTGCGTTAACTTCAATAGGTCTTCACGACGATACCTTGAACCGGTGTGAGCTGCGTTTTTACGTGCTCGGTAACGTACCATACTTTTCCAAATGGTAAATGCCTTTAATTTTTAAATAGTTATAAAAATGTATACGTGGGATATTAGGAAAGCCAAAATTTATGTTATACTTCTTTCCATTTTTTTAAAGTCCTAGTGGGACCTTTCATTGAGTTAAGTTTTTCTGCTAACTGAGACCATAACTCTTGTACATGGAGAGGAGCAATCTTTCCATACCAGCGCTTTTGTGAAATTTCAGGATGCTTCTTACAGAATTCAATATAGAATTTAATTTGTCCTTTTGTCGTCCGCTCGAACTTTCGTCCTCTAAGCCAGTATATCAAGTAGAACGTTATTAATTTAACAAATTATGCATGTACATACTAACATTTTCTGCGATTTTGCGGCCATTATTAAGAAAATACTAAATATAATTGTGTTTTCCCTTGTTACATTATTTCAACGATTCAAATTTGCATTAAAACGCTGTTAGTGAAAAGTTTAGGGCTATCGAAATTCACAAAAACATAAATACAACGAAGTAAACAATAAAGCAGATATGCGGCTTAGACCTGGTATACTATTGATAGTTGAAAACTGTCGCCACTATCGATAGTTTTTGAAAACTTATTTTTTTTATTCAAGAAAATTAACAGTACAGTTGACAAAAAAAAATTTTAGTTATTGGAATTTTTATCAACTATAAGCTTACGCTGAGTTATAGTAAAATTTAATAAGCTATAAAACCATAATTTTTATAGAAATTCGAATTAAAAAGCTTGAAATTTTAATGCAGTTTTTTATGTTTTGTACAACTTTTATAAAAAGTAGTGACTAAACAAACAAAAAAATAGTCAAAGCTGCTAAAAATGTTGTGGTGCTGTTATTTTGACCAGTACTTTATTTGTTTTCTTATAATATGGCAAAATATTAATAATTTCCTTGTCCGGATTTTGATATGCGCCTCCGTATTTGATCTCAGTTGAACTTATATAAGTATGAGTTGTCATTTAAAGGAATATCTTTTGTTTTGTAGTATTAGAAATATGTTATTATAGCCAATTTCTCTTCTTTGCACTTCAAAAGGGACAAACAAAATCCGAATTTAATTTTTCCATATAAAAAAAAAAAATCAGATTTTGCCTGTGGCTATTCAAGTGGTTACAACTAAAACTATTCATAGTCGCCTTAGTTTCGACTTTTCTGGCTAACTGCCATGCCTAAACAAAAGCGTTGCGTTGTCCGGCTGTCAAAAAATTATCATGCCTATACAATTTGTATGAAGCATACAGAAACGCGGCGTCAGCGGTTGGAAAATCCGATTTTGACAGGGCGTTAGGTATTGAAGTTGGCTGCAGAAAAGGGCGAAACTGTCATTTTCGTGTTACACACAAACCAACCTATGCTTTTTGTTGGTGTTATTTCTGCATTTGACGTCGCGTTTGTTTAGGTATGGCACTTCGGCGCTAACGCAAAGTGTCAGAAACCGCTCCACCCAACGCTTTTGTTTAGGTATGGCAGTAAGTACCAACTTAAAATTTAGTTTCGGCTGCAGCTGCAATTAAGTCGTAACTAGGAAGAAGTATTTTATTAAATTAAGGAAAAAAATACGAAATATGTAAGAATTAACTTGGCAGAGCGGGATTTTGATAATATCGAATTATCTCCAATTGAAATTTACAAATAGCGATCCATTTGAATCGGAAGATGAAATTTAAATCCAGGGACGTGAATCGTAATAGATATGATCATCTTTTGGTGTTAGCGTATTTAAAAACTCAAAGTAGGGTAAATTGGAAAAGCTAAAATTACAGTTGATGTTAAGGGGAGCTTAGAGCTCAAAAAAAGAAGAGCGGAAGAACCAGAGAGAGCTTCCACTACAACAACCCTGCCCAGATCGGTAAATATCTCAGTCGTTTTCGTCAAGTTCCACTAACGGCAGCCCTAAGAAGCGTGCAGCTTCAAAAAGGTCAGTCCACAGGGACAAAGAGATGTTTCGAGTCATGGGGCGTCTCTCCGCATACCGGACACTAATTTGATATACCAGTGTTTAGTCTGCTCAGGTATTAGTTTAACCTGATGCAGTAGCCAGAGCGAAGTTGGGCTATTGTTCTTCTAGTCTCCCGAGGCAGATGAAGCTCCGTCTCGTCAATAACCGGTGGTTGAGTGCCTAGAACGGCATTCATAGATCTGGAGTCTACATAACTCGAGACTGACTCCCTGTGAATGCCGATAAGTTGACGGGTCCAGAGGTTTTTTAATGAACCTCCGGACTTCGTCCGTCAGTTCGTAGAGATGCCTCCTGACGTGCTTGGGCGAGGGCTCGTCTGCAAACAGTTGCCCATTTGGGTAACCATGTCTATGGCTCCCAACAACGAACTGATTGCAGAACATTGTATTGTGCTCCTTGATCGGGAGCAATTTCGCCACGTCGTGTAGGTGGTGTTCAGGCGACATTAGAAGGCATCCAGTCGCTGTCCGTAGTGCGGTGTTTTGCGTCGTCTGCAGCTTCATCCACTGCGTTCTACTAGTCCCCGGCGACCACACTGGTGCTGCGTAATTTAAAAGCGGCCGGCATATTGCCTTATATGTTGCCAGCAACGTTTCTTTGTCTTTGCCCAAAGTACTGCCGGCTAGCGACTTGAGAGCCTTGTTGCGGCTCTGTACTTTGTTGACAATAGCGGTTGTATGCGCAGAAAAGGAGAGCAGACTTGCGAGGGTTACTCCGAGTATTTTGGGGTTATTCACCGTCGGAATTGGTGTACCATCGACGTGAATTACCAACGGTAGCCTGACCTCCTTCGTCCAGGTGGTCAACAAGGTCGCAGAGGATTTTGTAGGGGAGAGGGTCAGACTCCTTGCAGTGAAGAAGCGGGAAAGCTCGGAGAGGTACCCGTTTACTTTCGCACACAAGTCATCAATTCCATTCCCAGTCTCCATGATCAAGCAATCGTCGGCGTAAGAGATAATTGAGACTCCCTCTGGGGGTTGAGCGAGCTTTGAAATGTAAAAGTTAACAGTAGCGGGAAAAAGACACCACCCTGTGGAACCCCCTGTATTATTTTACTGAGTTTGCTCGATTTGTCTCTAAACATTACCGACGAGTATCGACCACTCAGATAATTCGCCGATCACTCTTTGCGCCCCTGCGGGAGAGAGGAAGCCTCTATATCTTCTAGTAGCGTGGAGTGGCTGACGGTGTCAAACGCCTTTGACAGGTCCAACGCTACAAGAATAGTTCTCTCACAGGGGCGGTTGCGGATAAGGCCAAGTATTATCTGAGTGTCTGTGGCATTAAGGGCTGTTGTTGTACTGTGTACTTTACGAAAACCATGTTGATGCTTCGATGGGGTTAGATGGTTCGTGAAATACGGGAGCAGCAAGGCCTCTAGTGTCTTCGCTACCGGGGAAGGAGTGTTATCGGTTATGATACGATTCTCCTTTGCTTAGCTGGTTTCCCCGGTTTGAGCACTGGGACCACTGTCCCAACCTTCCAGATGTCTGGGATGATGAGAGTGGCCATTGAAAAATTGAGGACCTCCGTTAGGTACGCTACTCCCGCAGGACCCAAATTTCTCAGCATCAGCATGCATTTTCCGTCGGGACCCATGTCTTTGGAGGCTTTCGCCTTCCTGATGGCAACCTGAACTTCACCGCTAGTGAAAGCGGAGCACAAGTTGTTGGCAGTCTCGACGCTTGGCTTTTTCCGCCGGAGAATGCAGTATGAACTGCCGGCTAAAATAGCTCACGCATCGCTCCGGTTGCGACGAAGCATGGTCGCCGAAAGAAATTTCGACCCTGTCGTCGTAATTCGTCAGAATGGACAGAGACCTCACGGTTGACCAAAGCTTACTCATACCAGAGGTGAAGTTGCAAGTCTTCAGATGCTCTTCCCACTTTTTCCGCTTGTTCACGTTCACAAGCTGCCGAATCTGCGCGTTTAGATCCCTAATACGGGGATTTCCGGGATCGGCCTGGCGAAGGTTGTCACAATAGAACAGCCGCTTCAGCAGGGAAGTTTGGACGGAGGTCCCTAATGCATCCTGCCGGTACGGAGCGAGCTCCAGCAGCAGTGACAACCCTGCAGAACTTATGTTCACCAAGGTAGACGTCGGTTAGTGTGGGGAGCACAGCGAAGGTGCTCTCAGTAAATTCCGCGAAGCCTTTCCAACCAGCTGTAGAAAAGTTGATCCGCGGAAGCAAAGTCGGTTGATTTATCGATCGAGATGACTATGGGCAGATGGTCTGATGCCAAAGTCAGCATATGTCGCCATGATACGCTGTTTTCAGACCAGCGCTGACTATTGTTATGTCTGGCGAGCTGCAGCAGCTGCCCATAATCTTGGTGGATGCGTCGTCGTTCATTGTGCAGAATGTCGAATCGTCTATCTGCTCAGCCAAGTATGTTCCCCTACGATCGTATGACAGACTTGAGTCCCAAAGATCGTGGTGCGCTTTAAAGTCGCCTACTACCATATGGTTTTCACCTCTGAGGAGCGCACCTTTATCAGGGTGATATTCTGCCGGGCAGCAAGTGACAGGGATATATACACGTTAAATATTTCGAGCTCAACATCGCCTGTCCGGATAGCAATGCCCTGACATTCCCTGCGGTCGATGTCTGCTTCAACAAGACGACACTGCACGGTGTGGTGCGTGAAGAACGCTAAGCCACCACCATTATCTCGCTCGCGATCTCGACGGTGCACGTTGTACCCGGCACAATTCAACAATGTTGAATTGCTGTGCAACTTCGTCTTTTGGACCGCAGCTATCAATATACCATGCCTTCCGGTGAAGACGGTTATCTCTTCGATCTTGCAGTTCGTTACGGTTAGATTGAAGGAGCTCCATGTGGTTCGGGAGACGTGTAGTTATGCGGGGTGTGAGGGACGTGTGTGGCCTTGCCGCCATTGGCTGTGTGCGCTGCTGAGGAGTTTGCCGCCCTGTGGTGGTAGTGGGTGGCGTCGAAATTGGGGTTTGCGACCGAGCTGCGCAACAGGGCCTCTCGAAGTTCCTCGTTCAATCTCGTTGCACTTGACTGTTACGGAATATCCTGGTCTGACATACCGTGCAGATTGTAGGAGGAACCTGGAGTATTTGGCGGCGGCGTGTGGGTGGTGGTGCGGTTGTATCTGTTGTGTGGTCTGTCGTGGTTGTGGTCTATTGTGTTGTTGTGTTGTGGTGCTGTGGTGTTTGTGTTGAGCTGCTCAGGTGGACTGGGATTAGCCCAGAAGGCTGCTCTGTTTGAGCAGCAGCTGCCACAAATGATGTGGTCCGTAGTCCTGAGCAGACTCTGAGGTGACTCCGCCCGTCGCAAGCATTGCACTTGGCTGAGGTGGAGTTGTGGTGTAGTCATCTCTGCCATACACAGCAGGTGTAGGTTGCTGGCCCTGGATTTGACTCGATGCCAGCCATGAGCACAAGAATGCGTACACATGGAACTCTATGGACGAACAGCTTCTGAGATACTTCGCCGACCTAAACGGGGTAAGATCGCCGAAACAACAGCCCTTAGTCGGGTAAAACCCGTGTCATTTCGGTACGTAGAACCGGCTGTCGTGGGAATGCTCGTAAATCTGACGTTATCTGCTAGTTATCTGACGGATGCCATACGCACGTATCTAGACCGATACGCACTGCCGTAACAGGTTAAACTCTTACTTGAGCGCATTACATGAAGATGTGCCCAACGAGTGCTCGGAATGCGGAGACACCCCACGACATCTCTTCGCGTGCCCATAAACCCCACTCAACAGATGCCTCTGTCCCTATGGACAAACCATATCGAAGCCGCACGCTCCCTGGGGCTTCCGTTATTTGAGCTTGACGACGACTGAGGGACCAGCCAATCTAGGCGGGGTTGTGCTAGCCGCTACAACAACATCAACTACAAGGATTAGATTCGTGCGAATGGTATCCGTCGGATGCATGCCTTATTCCGGTCGGAAGGATGCCATTCGCACGAGTCTAATCCTTCATACCACTTGTTGTGTCATTAGATAGCGTAATAGGTATGATCATCTTTTGGTGTTAGCGTACGTAAAAACTCAAAGTAGGGTAAATTGGAAGAGATAAAATGACAGTTGATGTTCAGGGGAACTTAGAGTTTTAAAAAGAAGAGCGTAAGAACCAGAGAGAGCTGCTAGTTTTTGGGCAAGACACATAGGCCCCTATTATGAGTTGCATTCGATCTTCGACTGTGGTCGAAAGTGCTGATCGAACGAATTTTCATTTGGTATTATGGCGCTCATTCGATGAAGAATAGCTCTATTGTGAATTTCGCTCGTTTAGGTTGTTCACAATAGTATATTTTTCAGCGCTGAGAAGCTTGTTTACAGATCGAGCAAACTAAATACATATGTACATATGTAAATTTGTGCAAATTAAAATTAAATAAAAAAGAAAGCGAGTTTATAAAAGCATGGTAAAAAAAGTTTTAATTAGCACAACGGAGTTCTGGTTGAACGATTCGTCAGAGAATGAGGGCTTTGAAAACTGGCCAGGAGCAGAAAACGTGAAAGATTAAGTACAGTCTTTCGAATATATTTTGACATACATTATATTTAAGAAATTTTGTGATCCAAATCTATTTAAAATATATTAAAACTATACACAGCACCATGATTTTGTTTTCAGAGGTCGTGCCATAAGCGTATAGGTATTTTCTTTCATATGTAAAATCAGACTTTCGAGCTTGTGTTTCCCTGCAAAAATCGCGACTACTCCATGCATGCATGTGAAGAGTACTCCCTAAGGACCAAGGAGTACTCCAAAATTAACCACAATTCATATAAAAAACAAGGTCCAATTAACATTGCGATGTCCTAGGGCAGGACCATATACTCCATCCCTGCATTACATCAGAGTAGCACAAAACTACTACAACATATTAACAATGGCATTGTTGTTATATTTTTTCGTTTGTACACGCTTTTGTTCTTCACTTCTCAAATGCTTTTTCGAAATAAATAAAAACCAAGACAAAAATTAAAAATTGCATGTCGCCTCTGACGGCATTCGAACCCGAACATGCTGGGAGCTAAGAACTAACAGCGAGCATCTCTACGCGTTCAGCTACAGCCAGACATGCAAATGTGCTTTCAAATGCTCAACTTCAATCACATTTCGTTAAAAGACGAGCAGTGATCGGGTAACAAACAATAAGCTGGTGCAGAGCTACGAGTTGGGCCGCTACAGCATGACAGAGGAACACTTTTGTAAGTACTCCAATATACCACAAATAGATTACATGGTCCAACGATTTTTGCAGGGTTACTATTCACGACGTTAGAACTGCTGGAAATTATTACAAATTGGTTAAAATTAGTGTCTAGGCGCCAAAAAGTAAGAAAGCAAATGCAAAACCATACAGTTTTAAAATTTTCTAACGCTTCGCTACACCAACAAAAGCAAAATTCTGTTCGATAGAAAATTCGATACTCAACGAAAATTTCGACACGCTTAGCTCATAATACGAATTTCGATTTCGATCTTCGATAGCCAGAGAAGATCGAAATCGAATGCAACTCATAATAGGGGCCATAAATACAGGTAGAAGCCAAAATGACGTTGCTCTCATGAGAACCAAACCTTTAAACTTCAACTTGTTTTTATTTTAGCTCTGATCCAATACTTTTCGTGAAAAATCCTGTAAAACTGTCAAACAGAAAAATTACTCTGACAGTAAAAAGTGAGTAACAACAAAAAGTACGGGAACAAAAAAAAATATGTTTCCTGTAAAAACGTCAACCAGTGATTGTTCGACACTTTTCATGATTTTACCAGAAGAAAAAGTTCGGGTAAAATCTTGCAACTTCATTCTCTACACAACTCTTCAAAAGTCGCTCTCATTTACAGGATTTTGGAGTACGGGAACATTTTTCCTGCAAGTTCGTGTAAAATCCTCTAAGTTCATGGAGTACTGGATCAGAGCTTTTATTTCCTATATTTCGTTACGCTTTGAATGTCATATCGTTTGTTTTTTTTTTTTGAATGTTCGTTAATATCAAATTTTAATTAACACTTGAATTTTTGTAATGTTGTGCGGTTTATACTTAGGGCCGGTTACTCAATGTCTGGTTAACACTAACTACAGGTAAAACATCGTTATCGACGTTACCGACACAATGTTATATGTATGGAGCCGAAGACGTCGATAACGATATTTAACCGCAGATTAGTGTTAACCAGACATTGAGTAACCGGCCCTTAGTGTATGTGTTAAAAATGCAGCACCCGAAGCGTTCGTTGCTTTTTATGTGGTGTTAAATATAAAGCAGATACCACTAATTTTTTTAACGTGCCTCAATGTCCTTCGCGTAAGGAGCGTTGCGAAAGCAGCTATGGGGCAGAGCTGCAGCGAAATGCCTTGCTGTGCGTTAAACATTTTAAAGGAGCAGATTTCACAAATACACCGCGAGGTACAGGAAAGGCACGTTTGATGCCAAAAGGTGTTCCTATGACCCTAATGCCAAAAAGTCCCTCCAACAACACTGCAACTCATAAATCAAAAATAGAAAACAACATACAAGTAAACAAATTTTAACTAAAGAAAATAAATAAATAAAAATAAACTTCAAATTTACATAAGAACGTCAACCAGTGAAACACATTTTTTTTATTTTTCCTTACACACGCTCATTTTTATTTTTACTCTCTCGAAAACTTTGACTTTTGTAGGTTTGACGTCAAATTGGCTTCCACCTGTTTTTATTGTACCATGGTTTTTGGGTTAAGAAACGCTTTCCAGCAGAAATTAGTGATACTTTGTGATAATCATGATAAAAACATAGCAAGGTATAACCGTTCTCTCAATTTGTTGGCCATGATTTTTTTTTGAAGTTTGCCAACATTTTAAAATCATATAAAAGTGAAAATAAAAAATTGAAATTGTTGTTGCTTGAGATTGAAAATGAAAATGTGTGTGTGAGTTTGTGAGTAAATTTAAAAATTAAATTGTTTGGAAACGTCAAGAATCTTAAAAGTGACTCTCAGCGGTTCTACCTTACTATATTTTTATCATGGTGATAATTATCTGCTAAGAAACAAAGCTACTATTTGCTTCAACCAAGGCACATTAAACAGGTAGTATCAGTAGAGCAAAAACAACATTTGCGTGTATTTTGTTGTTGCTTCTGGTATCGAAAGTGTCAACAACTGTTCTGAATTTTTTCTTCTAAATCAAAGCGTGCCATGTGAAATACAGAAAATTATAAAAAATAAAAAATTGAAATTGGAAAAAATAAAAATTGATGCAACTTTCTTTCCTAGTAAATTAGTTTGCTTCTCGAAGCATTGATCCATCCTTTGCAAGGCCCAGTAATCAGCGGTTGTGCTGCCGAGTTGGGCGAACGTTCCTAAAGCTGCTATTCAATCGCTTGTTTTGTATGGAAAAAGGTTTCACAAGCAAATGGATTTTAACAACTTATAATTTTCGTGAGAAAAAATTCAAAATATTTGACATTTTCGAGACCAAATAATTTGAAAATAAATCAAATCAGCTGCTCTACTGATACTACCTGTTCAATGTACCTTGGCTTCAACCAAATATATAAGACAACGTGTGAAGTAGAGAACAAATTTGGCGCCGTCAGTGGTACCGCTACTTTGGTAAAGCCGATTTTCAAAATTTTCAAGTATAAACCACACCTGAGAAAACAACAAAAAAATAAAAATAAATGCATTGAAATTCACAACACTCACTCAAACCCAAAGTAATATTTTTTAAATATTTCATTTATTTATTAATTCTTTGTATAAATCATACACATATATATTAATTCGTATGGAACAGTAGCTTATGTCGGGAAGCTGGCTTTAGTATAATGCGGCATTCCCGTTATTCTTTAAACCAAAAGGAATTTTTTGATGAGACTTAATAAGAATATTGATTTGATAGTATCGGAATTATTTCTAGCACGTTTATTTGCCAAAAGTTCTTCAACGGCTCGGCGCCAGAGGGTCATTCGGAATCGTATGCTGCGAATGCCGCATTATACTAAAGCCAGCCTTTCGACATAAGCGACTATTCCAAACGAACACATATTTATACAATTTCACAAAATTAAATTTTGAGTAAAAGTTTTTGAAAGCGGGTTCGTCAGCTGATCTTTTGTTTAATTTATGAGCACTATGGCTTAGAACCCTTTTTCTTATGTGATCTGCAGTGGAATTTTGGAAGTGCTACCATAAATTTTCGTTGCCAAAATTGTCCAAATAAAAAGCAGTGGGGCCTAAAATTATACGACATGAAAAAGTAACATGTGTAATGTGTAATCAGCCAAGTCTGGCAGTATGTGGAGCATTCAACTAGATGTTTAATGTTGTTAAGGGCGCCTGATTTCTTTTGGAGATTTTGTTGATCAAAATTAGCGACAGCGAATGTTGGAATCTGACTGCAGGCGTCATTCGCTCAAGACACTATATAATTTAAAGTCGATTTTTTCTAAAACCTGATTCATAGCAGTCAACGTTTGATCTAATTTCATGATAACATTTTGTTGGTTTATAGAGAGTATTTCCTCCCTTTCTCTACGTGCTTCTAAGCTTTTAATAAGCGTGTTACAAATTCCAGAAAAATTCCCTCTTTGAGAATTAACGGATTTTTTAGTTTGCTTTTTTGACGTTTTCGAAGCAGGTGCGGGGGAAACGTCTGAGACGGGAGAAGGTGACCTCGAAGACGAAGAAGTGCTGCCCATCATGCCATCGCAAGGTAGGAAAATTGAATCGAAGGGCAATTCAAGATCACATGTAGCTTCGCTATCTTCTGTCTGATGATGCACATTTGCAGGTTTCTATTAAATTCAGAAAAATACTAATTATTTACAGAGAAACCTCGATATAATGAAGTTGAAGGGGCAGAGCAAATGCAATGGCGGAATTAAACCAGGTGAAGTAATTAGAGCGAGAAAAATGATTTTAACACTGCCTTATATGAAAAATTTCATTTAAAATTTGTCTATAAGGCAGCCGAATGTCAGAAGATAAAGCGAGAAAGCTGTTTTATTACTTCACCTGTTTATTGCGTCATGAGCAAATGCTTTGTTGCATATATAGTTTCGTCATATTTATAAAACATCAAACACGATACAGCGAAATTTCAAAACTTTGGAAAAAAATCCTTACAAGTAGTTTCTTTCTTTTTTTTTAAACGAGACTAAACGTCACCATACCTAGACCCTGGTAAGTTAGAAGTGCTTGAGGCGACACTCTTGCATAGAGACGTTCAATAATCGGACTTTAACCGTCAAAATATTCCGAATCTTTGCATGCTCAAAATTTCTTCCATATATTTATGGCAGTTTTGTATGGACATTTTCGAAGCACAACGAGGCTTATTCAGGGAACTCGGCAAACATTTTTTTAAATTAAATATTTCCGTTTTATAAAAGTTCGTTATATCGAGGTTTAACTATACACCCTATACTCCTTAACGGCAGAATGTCACGTATATTTGAATACTAGTTTCTTTATATTCGATGTACCTCAGGTTGGCGTTTTTTCATAGTAGGAACTGCATCATATTTTGAGTATTTACTTTCAATTAACTTCAATAGGTCTTCTTGGCGACACCTTTTACCGGTTTGCGCCGAGTTTTGACGGGCCCGGGCACGTAACTTATTTTTCCACATTGCCAATGACTTTAAAAAGAAAATATTTAGTAAAAACTTATGTGTATGCATGTGTAATATAAATTTACTTCCTGCCATTTTTTTGCAGTCCTAGTAGGCCCATTCATCGAGTTAAGTGTGTCTGCTAACTGAGACCATAACTCTTGTATATGGATAGGAGCAATCTTTCCACGTCTTTTCGAAAGGTATTGTGAAATTTCAGGATGCTTCTTACAGTATTCAACATAGAATTTAATTTGCGCTTGTGTCGCCCGCTCGAACTTAGGACCACCTCTAACACAGAAAAAATATGAAACAATAATAAACACATTTTGTAAAAACTTACATTTCCTCCGATTTGGCGGCCATTATTATCAAAATGCTAATTACAACCGTGATTTCTCTTATAAAGTTATTTCAATCATTAAGAATTGTAATGATACAGAGGCAGCAATAAGTTTAGGACGAAGGAAATTTATAGTGTTACGATTATCCTCGAAACCTTGAGGGATTTCCCAAATATACTCG